TTTCGTAGAGAATCTGGGATTAAAATTGGCCCTGAGGCAGGATCTTTTAAGACAAATCCTGTGGATGAAATGTCCGTTGAGACATTGAGAGGAGACACAAAAGAAGTAGACTTGGCTGAGAATAATGGAGGGGGCTCCTGTATGATTGACGTATCTGCAGATTCAACTGTCTGGTAAAAATCAGAAATGTTTTCGTGAGCATGTCTCTGATCTTTCTGCAGCTTTCCCCACATCTTTCTTTTTCTGTTCTTCTACTTGAATTTTCTTCTTTTTTTCTGTGACCCACTCGCATAAAAACGTCCAACATCACGTTCACGAGATGCCCTAATGAGGGTGTATCACGTCTGTAATTATGCAAATACAAATTTTTCATTATCAATTATTTTTAATTTTTTAATTATTATTAAAAAAAAATTCTGTCAATTGGGGGGATTGGCCCTTGAAGCCCCTTTCCTCTGGCTGCGCATCTAAAAATTCAAAAACGTTACCAGAAAGGAGTCATATACAGAGCTTTTACCATAGATTAGGTTAGTGATTTGGGCTACGAATATTTTACTAATTCATCCTCCTTGATCTCCAATTTACTTAAAAAGAAATCATTACTGAGTCCAAGAAACAATGCAAATGGTATTTATATCACCATTTTTCATAACTAAACTAATCATTATGTTTTGCATGATTATATGGCCCACCACCATAGATAAGGACATGGAATTAAAGAATGCAGGGACAATTTTCAGTTTCACCCAACCAACGATTTTTGATGTGGCTTATGTGTTTCTGGGGAAATATGTAGTAAATTTAAATTTATGTTCTACATCACTTCCGTTTGAACTTGAAACTAAGCATTTGCGACGGAAGTGATGTAGAACCTCAATCAATTGAGATCTGTTATTGAAATGATAAAGACTTAAAGACAGGGGCAAAGTGCTTTTTAAAAACCCACAAACGGAGTCAGTTTGCGTTTTTTTTGGCTTTTCTTATGTATTTTTTCCAAAAATGCGTCTTTACTGGTCCATGCGTCTTTACTGGTCAAGTAACCTATCAGGCACCTCCTTAAATTTAGAGGCGGAAAACAAACATTTATCCATACAATCAATGTTTTCAACAACACTTCAGTTAATTTTTACAGTACAAGTCTACATAATGAGTAATTACTACAGAAAATTGGAGAGCAATTTCATATTCACCCATTAGCGGGAAAACACAGCTGTTTTGATGTAAACAAAGGAGTGTTGAGTGTTGCCTCTTTTGGTTAGGTTTATTTATTTTTTTTTTATTTTTTTCATTTTTATTTTTTTTTTTGATTAATTTTTTAAAAATCAATTTTATCTCCAACACTTGAACCTTTTAGGTAGGCACCCCTTTGCACTTGCACCCTGTGCGCGTCTTGGATGAGGGCCCAAAGAACCCCTTTGGGCCACGGGGCCCAAATGCGCGGGGGCCCTAGGCAAATGCCTGCTTGCCCATGCGGTAAACCTGCCCTGACTATGTCACCTTTATAACGTCAAGTAGTGATCCCGTGTCACCTTCTAACGTCAAGTAAGGAGCTGTGTCACCTTCATAAAGTCAAGTAAAAGAACTATGTCAACTTCATAACGCCAAGTGGGAACTATGTCAACTTTCATAACGTCAAGAAGAGAACTATGTCACCCTTCATAACGTCAAGTAGGGAACTATGTCACCTTCATAACATCAAGTAGGGTAACTATGTCAACTTCATAACTCCAAGTAGGGACTATGTCACCCCTTTATACGGCAATTATGGAACTATGTCACCTTCAGAACCTCGAGTAGGGAACTATGTCACTTCATAACGTCAAGTTGCGACTGTGCCACCTTCAAACATTTAAGTAGGGAACTATGTCACCCTTATAACGTCAAGTAAAGAAAATTTTGTCACCTTCATAATGTCAAGTAGAGAACTATGTCAACTTCATATCGTCAAGTAAGGAACTATGTCACCTTCCCAAAACCCTCAAGTAAGGAACTATGTCACCTTCATAACGTCAAGTAGGGAACTATGTCACTTCATAACGTCAAGTAAGGAACTGTGTCACCTTCAAACCGTCAAGTAAGGAATATGTCACCTTCATAACGTCAAGTAGGGAACTATGTCACCGTATAACGTCAGTACTGAACTGTGTCACCTTCATAACGTCAAGTCTGAACTATGTCACCTTCTAACGTCAAGTATGAACTATGTCACCTTTCATAACGTCAAGTAAACAACTATGTCACATTTATGTCGTCAAGTAAAAAACTATGCCAACTTCATAACGTCAAGTAGGGATCTATGTACTTCTTTAAATCCAAGTAGGGAACTATGTCACCTTCATAACGTAAGTAGGGAATCTATGTACCTTCATAACTCCAAGTAGGGAAAATTGTCACCTTCATAACGTCAAGTAGGGATCTATGGTCACCTTCATAACGTCAAGTACGGAACATGTCACCTTTTAACGTCAAGTAGGGAAACTATGTACCTTCCCTAACGTCAAGTAGGGAACTACGTCACTTTTATAACGTCAAGTAAGGAACTATTTTCACCTCCATAAAAGTAGTAAGGAATTTGTACCTTTATAACGTCAAGTGAGAACTATGTCACCTTCATAACGTCAAGCAAGGAACTATGTACCTTCATAACGGCAAGTAGGGAACTATGTCACTTAAACTTTTAAGTAGGGATCTATGTCACGTTCATAACGCAAGTAGGGAACTATGTCACCTACATAACGTCAAGTACGGAAAATATGTCACCTTTATAAAAGTCAATTATGGAACTATGTCACCTTTATAACGTCAGTGGGGAAATATGTCAACTTTATAACGTCAAGTAGGGAACTTGTCACCTTCATAACGTCAAGTACTGAACTATGTCACCTTCATAACGTCAAGTAGGGAACCATGTCACCTTCATAACCTCAAGTAGGGAACTATGTCACCTTTTAACGTCATAAGGAACTATGCACCTTTAAACGTCAATAAGGAAAATATGTCCCTCCCCAAATCAAGTAAGGAAAATATGTCACCCTTTAAACTCAAGTAGAAAATGTCCCCTCATAACGTCAGGGAAAGAACTATGCACCTTCAAATCAAGTAGGGGAAAATTTTCCTCCCTAACGGGGAAATAAAGAAACTATGTCACCCTTTATAACGCAAATAGGGGGAACTATGTCACCTTTTATAACGTCAGGGAAAGGAACTATTACCTTCAAACGTCAAGTAAGGAACTATTCCCTCATAACGCAGTGAAATTGCACCTTTTAAACGCAAGTAAGGGAAAATTTACCCCCCATAACGGCATTTTGGGGAAATTGTCACCTTCATTCGTCAAGTAGGGACCTTTTCACTTCATAAGTCAAAGTGGGAAATTTGTCACCCTTTTAAAACCCAAAGGGAACTATGCCTTATAACGCAATATGGGCTATGTCACCTTTTAAAACTTTAAAAAAAAGGGTATGTCACCTTTTAAAGTCAAGAAAGGGGAAATTTTACCTTAAAAACGGCAAAGTATGAACATGTCACTTTATAACGTCAAATAGGGCTATTAACCCTTTATAACTCAAGTAGGGAATAGCACCTTCTAAAGTCGTGGGGAAATATGTCAACTTTATCCCCAAGGAACTTGCACCTTCATAACGCAAGTATAACTATTCACCCTTCAAACTCAAGTAGGGAAATTTTTTTGTCATTTTTATAACTCAATAGGGAACTTGTCACCTTCATAAAAACCAAAGGAACATTCCCCTTCATAAAAATCAAGTAGGGGGCTATGCACCTTCATAAATTCAGTAGGACTTGTCACCTTCATAAATTAGTGGAACTATGTCCCTTTATAAAATCAAGAGGGGAAAATTTTTATTCATAACAAAATTAGGGAAACTATTCCCTTTAATAACTAATAGGGAACTATGTCACTTTTAAAAATCAATAGGGCTATTACCTTCATAAAAAAGTAGGGGAAATAGTCACCTTTAAAACGGGGCAAAGGGGGAGGGACTTTCCTATTTTCCAATAATTTTTAAATTTAAAAAATTTTTTAGAATTTTTTCCTTTATATTTTTTTATATTTAGTTAGGTTAACTTTACTAATTTAAATTTTTTTTTTCAATTAAAAGTTTGGGGAAATTAGTTTCTTATTTGGGGTAAATTATCTTTGAGTAACCCATTGTTTACCCTAATATGTAAAAAATTTGTTAAAAAAAATTTTGGGGGAATAGGCCCCCTCATAAAAAACTCCCTTTTGGCGGGTTTTAGCAAATTTTGTTTTTTCACCCCGCTCAATGGAATTTTTCAAAATCCAATAACGTAGTAAAGATTTGGCCCCCTTTCCAAACTTTAAAAGGCTAGCCCCCTTTTAAGTAAGGAGGAGAAAAACCCAAAACGAAAGGGGGGGGAAAAGGAAAGAAAGGAAAAAGGGGGAAAAAAAAAAAACGGAAGGGAGGAAAAAGAAAAAGGGGAGAAGGGGGGAAACAGAAGTAAAAAAGGAATGAAAGGGGGGAAAAGAGGACAAACAATTATAATTTAATTTTATCACTTTCTAATAAAAATGGGCCATCATTGTTATATATGCAAGACCTGGTTGACGGAGGTCAAGCGCTCGATACATTGCCTTAGTGTCTAACACTTTTCTGTTGTGAATCCTTCAGTGAGAGGGAAGCGATCTTAAGCAAGTGAAGGACTCTTGATCCAAGAACTGAACTTACCCAAGAATACTTAGATATCATAACACCGTGACTGGAACAAGTCACCAAAACTTGGCACTGAGGAGAGGAGCTAAGAGGACCCGAAACATCGTAACCTAAGTGCGGATTTTGTGAATTGGGGGCTACTCCTCCCCTTCCTCGTCTCAAACCTGATTATACTCTTATACATACCATTCACCAGGTGTTGTGTGGTTCTCGTGGGTTTGGCGTTTTCCCATGAATATCATAGTAAGTCCAGTGTTGTGTTGGGTTCTCTTGTAAGTTGTTTCAATATATTCTTTCAATCAGCAGGAGAGAAGAGCCAGTCACCTCAGTACGCAGTGAGTCGTGGGGACGATTACACTAGCCAAAACACTGGTTACGACTCACTGGACGACCAGAACGACGTTGACGCAGAGTTAGTGAAGGGAGCGGATACCCGCCTGCAGGCTAGGAAGGTGGCCAGCACTGCTCGCAGTGATTATACATTACCCAGGCTGCCCCTACTGTGCCCTCCTCTACCACAACCACCACTACTACCACCACCGCTACCACCACTCTGCCAGAGAGTAAGTTGTATAACCACCAGTATCATAAGCAATGTCATTACTTCCACCTCAAGGACCAAACTGAAAATAAGTAACTGAATTTTTGGGGGGTTATCCTAGTTAATTAATTAACACTATGTATAATAACTGTATTTACGTGTGCATGTGCCTAAATAAACTTGCTCATCCACTTATTTAATTACAAGTTATATCAGTAGCATCCAACATCCTTACATCACACCAAGGTTGTGCAACAACACAACAATATACAAGCTTCTAAGGAAACTTTCTTAAATCACAGACATTGGGATTTGCTAGAGTGTGCATATTTCATTATGAACAAAAAAGGATACATCTGATGGTGCCGCCTCGGCGTTGTTACGTTAGTTGGCGACTGTGTTGGAGCGGCTTGAGTGCCTGAGGACCCACCAGCCCATGAGTGCCTGAGGACCCACCAGCCCATGAGTGCCTGAGGACCCACCAGCCCATGAGTGCCTGAGGACCCACCAGCCCATGAGTGCCTGAGGACCCACCAGCCCTTGAGTGCCTGAGGACCCACCAGCCCTTGAGTGCCTGACGACCCACCAGCCCATGACTGACTGAGGACCCACCAACCCATGAGTGCCTGAGGACCCACCAGCCCATGAGTGCCTGAGGACCCACCAGCCCATGACTGACTGAGGACTCACCAGCCCATGGGTGCCTGAAGACCCACCAACCCATGAGTGCCTGAGGACCCACCAGCCCATGAGTGCCTGAGGACCCACCAGCCCATGACTGACTGACGACCCACCAACCCATGAGTGCCTGAGGACCCACCAACCCATGAGTGCCTGAGGACCCATCAGCCCATGACTGCCTGAGGACCCACCAACTCATGAGTGCCTGAGGACCCACCAACCCATGAGTGCCTGAGGATCCCTCAATCCATGAGTGCCTGAGGACCCACCAACCCATGAGTGCCTGAGGACCCACCAGCCCATGAGTGCCTGAGGACCTACCAACTCATGAGTACCTGAGGACTCACCAACCCATGAGTGCCTGAGGACCAACTAACCCATGAGTGCCTGAGGACCCACCAACCCATGAGTGCCTGAGGACCCACCAACCCATGAGTGCCTGAGGATCCACGAACCCATGAGTGCCTGAGGACCCACCAACTCATGAGTGCCTGAGTACCCACCAACCCATGAGTGCCTGAGGACCCACCAACCCATGAGTGCCTGAGTACCCACCAACTCATGAGTACCTGAGGACTCACCAACCCATGAGTGCCTGAGGACCCACCAACCCATGAGTGCCTGAGGACCCATCAGCCCATGACTGCCTGAGGACCCACCAACCCATGAGTGCCTGAGGATCCACGAACCCATGAGTGCCTGAGGACCAACTAACCCATGAGTTCTTGAGGACCCACCAGCCCATGACTGCCTGAGGACCCACCAACTCATGAGTGCCTGAGTACCCACCAACCCATGAGTGCCTGAGGACCCACCAACCCATGAGTGCCTGAGGACCCACCAACCCATGAGTGCCTGAGGACCCATCAGCCCATGACTGCCTGAGGACCCACCAACTCATGAGTGCCTGAGGACCCACCAACCCATGAGTGCCTGAGGACCCACCAACCCATGAGTGCCTGAGGACCAACTAACCCATGAGTTCTTGAGGACCCACCAGCCCATGACTGCCTGAGGACCCACCAACTCATGAGTGCCTGAGGACCCACCAACCCATGAGTGCCTGAGGACCCACCAACCCATGAGTGCCTGAGTACCCACCAACCCATGAGTGCCTGAGGACCCACCAACGCATGAGTGCCTGAGGACCTGCCAACTCATGAGTGCCTGAGAACCCACCAACCCATGAGTGCCTGAGGACTCACCAACCCATGAGTGCCTGAGGACCCACCAGCCCATGACTGCCTGAGGACCCACCACCCATGAGTGCCTGAGGACCTACCAACTCATGAGTGCCTGAGGACCCACCGACCCATGAGTGCCCGAGGACCCACCAGCCCATGACTGCCTGAGGACTCACCAACCCATGAGTGTCTGAGGACCCACCAACCCATGAGTGCCTGAGGACCTACCAACCCATTAGTGCCTGAGGACCCACCAACCCATGGCTGCCTGAGGACCCACCAGCCCATGACTGCCTGAGGACTCACCAACCCATGAGTGCCTGAGGACCCACCAACCCATGAGTGCCTGATGACCCACCAACCCATGAGTGCCTGAGGACTTACCAACCCATGAGTGCCTGAGGACCCACCAACCCATGACTGCCTGAGGACCCACCAACCCATTAGTGCCTGAAGACCCCTCAACCCATGAGTGCCTGAGGACCCATCAACCCATGAGTGCCTGAGGACCCATCAACCCATGAGTGCCTGAGGATCCATCAACCCATGAGTGCCTGAGGACCCACCAACCCATGAGTGCCTGAGGACCCACCAACCTATAAGTGCCTGAGGACCCACCAACCCATGAGTGCCTGAGGACCCACCAACCTTTAAGTGCCTGAGGACCCACCAACCCATGAGTGCCTATTACCACCCAGGAGTCCAAAGACCTGTTATCCTGGGTATAAAGGGAGAAAAATAAACACATCAGAAAAACTTTTGACTTATATTATCCTTCACCAAGTAAGAACAGAATTACGTACTCTTTATACACTCTGTACAACAATAGGCATTAGTGCACTCCACGGTAAGCCACTAGAGAGCAGACTGTGCTTCAGCCAGCTCTAGAATGGGAATGACAAGGGCAGACAGGTGTGTGGTACCCACAACACCTCTGCGATTGCCAAAACCATCTTCTCATTGGCTGGAACCTGGGTACTGATCGAACGACGGGGCCCCATCGTCGACCCTAGTACTGGTTCGCTGGTTGGGGGAGATAGCCTTTCAATGAGGGTGTGTACATGCGCTGAATAAAGGTTACGTAATCTTTGCATGGCACAGTGCCTGAGGACCCACCAACCCATGATCACCTTTATTACAACCCAGGATTCAAATGGCCTGTTACCCCGGGTGTAATGGGAGCAAATAAACACAGTAGAAAAAGTTTAGACTTATATTATCCTTCACCAATTTATAACAGCAATATGTACACTATGTACAGTGATAAGTATAGTGCACTCCACGGTAAGCAAAGCAGAAATAGAAGCCACAAGATAGCAGACCGTGCTTCAACCAGCTCTAGAATGGGAATGACAAGGGCAGACAGGAGAGCGGTACCCACATAACCTCTGCGATTGCCAAAACCATCTTCTTATTGGCTAGAACCTGGTCACTAGTTGAACGACGGGGCCCCATCATCAACTCTTAGCAACCTGGTTCGCTGGTTGGGGGAGATAGCCTGTAAATGAGGGTGTGTACGTGCGCCGAATAAAGGTTACGTACTCTTTGCATGCCACAACCTTCAAGAGTGACGACTAGATTTCCTCTTTAGCCCAAATTTTGCTTCGACTTACCATTTACGATTTGGAAAGAATTTTTAGTACTGCATTCACGTTGTACATGTATTTGTTGAAATAATAATAATAATAATAATAATAATAATAATAATAATTATTATTATTATTATTATTATATTATTATTATTATTATTATTATTATAACAAACGAAATTAGAATTCTGATTATATTGCGATTAAATATAATTAAGAATTATGGATTTTCCAAAATAATAATGCTAGATCTTTTAGTTGTAGATAGTAATAATGCCAGCAAATTAATGTTAGCTACCTTACATAAGCACTAAATAAGCAAGGTGTCATACTCAACACAGGTTCAATACATGTGTGTGATAGTGGGGTCAGCGTGACCCCGGAGACCTCAGTAGAGCTGTGGGGGCATCAAGCTTCATAATATGTGTTCATTAATAACCTACATGGAAACAAAAACTCCGAAGGTTAATTGATCAATATATTTCGACCGCCTGTTGGGATCATCCTATCTGCTGAAGAGAACCTTAACAGGGGGTCGAAATATACAGATCAATTAATCTTCTTAGTTTTTGTCTTCATGTGGGTTATTACTGAACACTGACAAGTGTTCATTACACTTCAGCTATTCATTAGCAATATGTGTTACATAGCTACGGCAGCTTCAGATTTGACATTCCTCGTGAGTCAGTCATAAGTCAGATGATACTATCCATTCACTCCACAGTACATTACCCATAAATACCATTCCTCAGTCTCTGTTATACTGTTCCTTCGAAGATTATTGATTGACTAAGGTGATACCAACATGCGATCAGGTACTGTGAGCAGCGACCAGGTACTGTGACCAGCGACCAGGTACTGTGACCAACGATCAGGTACTGTGACCAGCGACCAGGTACTGTGACCAGCGACATGCTTCAAAGATAATTTCAGTTCTGGATGGTTGATAGACACATGGTGGTGTCTCCCGACACCTGGTGACCATGTTGATCTAGCAGACAGCAGCTGCAGATATACTGTGACCACACAACACAAGAGATGAAGTGCAGGATGAGAAATATAGTAGAGTTAAGATGAAATAAAGACGAACGAATAAATTCTAGGCTTGAAGTAATTGTAATTAAAGCTGAATGTAATTAAAAAAATTACTAATAGTAATTTATATTTTAGATTAAAAAGAGTAATTGTAAATGATTTGTGAAGTTGTTACCAGCTTAAATTGTATAATAAAATTGGGGCACTATAATTAGCTAATACCAAAATGACAGTACACATGTACACTACTGTACATTCAAAGGTGGTTCTCCTTGTTTGAGTCACGTCCAGCACTTGTACTACTGACAGTCATGTTTCCATGAGCTGCATGTGACTGATTGACTTTGACTGGACTCCTGACTCAGTCGCAGTTCAGACTTGTTGACAAATGGACCCATTGTTTCGTGGGGGAAAATATGCAAGTTACAATAATTTTGTGTCAAAAGTTTAATTTTTTATAATATTTAAATGAGTAACATTTTAAAAATACTTTGAGATTTTATGAGCGATGTTGATTTTTAAAAACAGGGAGTCACTGGTTTTGAAAGTGTTCATGGCTTACTACAACAATTTTGATTCAATATCATCTTTGGATGAGTTATAAAATGAATGTGGAGAAGCCATTTTATATTATATTTCATAATTTTGGTAATATGGATGTCCTATTGGGGGGTTTATAACATAATTGACTCTCTGGTTATTTTTTGTAATATTTTATGCAGTATCATGAGAGAAAAGGTCAAGGAAGGACAGTTAAAGGCCAAAACGTTTTTAAATTATATTTTTCACCACTGTGATATGAGTGATATTGCTTGATAACATAAACAGATTCATGAATATTATATAAGTGTAAATGGGGACGGTCAGTAATGAAACAGTATGTTGTGTGTGATAAATGGTTTTGAACACCGACAAGTTGAAGATTAAGACACTTATGCAGCATATGGGAATCTTTATGGGGGAAACGTTTCGACACACAGTGGCTTCATCAGTCCAGTACAAAACAGAAAGGTGTAAGGAGAGGAGGAGCTTGAGGTAATCAGTCCCTCAGCCTTGAATCAATGTGTTCAGTCCATCACTTATAGAAAGTACAGCATGTGGCCGGAGAAATGGCTTATATACTGTAGTCAAGTGAGTGGAAGCAGGAGGAGGCGGGATCACAGTGGGACCTTCCACTAGTGTAAGTAGGTCTTCGTCCTAAGGTTGGACAAGTATTGAAAAAGTCTTTGTATCAAGATCCCATGATGTTGCAGTGTCTGACAGTATGTTGTAACAGTGTTATACATTTACAACGTAGTCAGCTCAGCCAACTGGACTGTGCTTGTGAGAAACTGTTGCTTCTCCTTTTACACTGTTGGGTCTTCATTTATTGGTTGGAGTACTTTCTGAAGTACTTTAGTCTTCGTCAAGTAGAGTCAGCCAGGTGGGCAGAGAGAAGGAATGAAGCACAAAAGTTACTGAAAGAAGATTAAGACTTCTGTGAAAGTTACTTCAAGCTTCGTCACACACTCAAAAATGTTGTAATAAAAAGGAGAAGCAAAATGATACACAGAATAAAATGGCAGAGCTGCTGGAAGTGGCAGCAGTACACAGAAACTACCATCTATATTATCATATTTCAAGAGTAAGAGAGAAATTAGTGAACTTTACCGTAAATGATTCAAGGCCGACTGTCGCTGAATAATATGGAGAGTTCTACTGTCCGAGATCTTCTAAATGCAGAAACTGAAATTTGATTCGTGCAAGATCAACAATTAGAAATACTTCTTCGAGCATACGTAAAAAATTAAGACTGCAATGAAGGATGGGTATACAGTGCATAATATATTAAACTAAAAAAAATAAACTGCAATGAAGGAAGAATTTCAAGGTCTCAGCCGAGTTTATCTAACTTTGTACCAGTGGTGAGATTACATTCCTTAGGGCAACAGTTCACTTTACAGACAAGAACGGAGAACTGAAATCAAGCGCTCTTGCTTGTGATATATCTGAAGAGAGGTATACTGCCTATAACATAGAATCTTCACACGAGTTCTTTGACCGTTATTCTATCAGAGATAAAGTTAAGAAAGTTGTAGCAGACAATGCCTTCTCAATAATTAATGCTTTTGATGTCCGTCTTCCTGGTTTTCACGTCGCTGGACCAGAAGATGTAACTTATCAAGACCAGAAAAATGCAGATAACAGCGAGCAGGAAATAGGCGTGGATAGTGTTCTCATTTTTTTTTTTTTTTTTGCCAGAAGGTACGAGACGGTTTGGTCACACTCATCATCTATGAGTTAAAGATGGTCTCAGTATTCCAGAGGTTAATAATTCTTTTCTGTCTACAGGAATTCAAAAAAACATCTCTTATGATTTCAGTACTTAAGTCAACCTCTGATGCACTATCCCTCTAAAAGAAAGGTGTTTACTTGCAATATCCAAATGTAACAAAATGGAATTCACAATTGAAAATGAGAGTCAGTTCTGAAAGGAACTCAACATGTCAACAAGATGGTAGAGAGAAAAATAACAAGAAATTATTTTTAATGGAGATTACGGTACTAAAGGAGGTTGTGACAGTTCTTAATCCACTGAAAGAGGCAATGGAACACCTGAAAGGAGAGAAAATCGTCACCATCTTAACAACTGGACCAGTAATTATTGGTCTACAGCAATCCATGCAGCAGTTACTAAACTCTGACCAGTCCTACTGTGAAACTTTAACCAAAGTCTCCCATGAAACACTGAAACGAAGACTTAATACATTTTTGGAGATGACTGACATAACGGCAGCAGTTCATTTTCATCCTTTCTTCAAGCTGGATTGGCTTCAGTCAGAATAAAAAAGAGAACAAGTGCTTCAGGAGATCTGGATCCTTGTTACAAGTGAGTCTGAGAATGAAGAAACAAAATGCGATATTATCCAAAGGATGAGTCATCTGAGTCTAATTAACCTAAGAGCCTCCGCCTTTTTTGTTCATGGCCCGACAGTTGGAGGTGAACGGAAATTACCCACTGATGAACTAGAACCAGTTTTAAAAAGTATATACAAGACCATTGTAATCCATTCGACGGAGATCCCTTGACCTATTAGATAAATTCTCCTCCCAAGATGCTCCCTCTGAAGAAACCAGCAAGAGAAGGATGGGTTGCAGTAGGACGCACCTTGGTCCTGTAGGACGCAGCTTGGTCCTGTAGGACGCAGCTTGGTCCTGTAGGACGCAGCTTGGTCCTGTAGGACGCAGCTCGGTCCTGTAGGACGCAGCTCGGTCCTGCAGCCATCAGCCAACCTCTCCTGATTAAGTGCAGCCCAGAAATTTACGAGTATCTACCATGCTTGAATATTAATAAACTCTAATATGTGAAAATGGACGTAACTTATGCAAGTTTTGTACACCGCCAAAATCAATATTATTTTCATTGTTTTACAAGTTGTGAAATAACTTAGTTGCAACTTTCTGTTCCAAATCATCTAATTTTGTACAGTTTCTATATGTAGTTTCCTTGCAGGAATTGTAGTGAACGACAAAAAATATATTAATATTATGTCTTCGATCTACCATGTTAAAGTACATCATGTAAACTGAAGCTTATTTTGTTATTTTGTAATCTTGTTGGATCTTTGGCCGATTTAGTGCAACAAATATTATGAATATGAAAATGGTATACAATACCGAGAGGTTGATAAGACACATGTGCAACAGTAAGGTATCTTTATTCCAAACTTTTCGCCTTCACGGTAGGCTTCTTCAGTCTAGTACAGAAGGGTTAGCAGAAGCAGTAGAGGATGATGGTATTCTTGTACATTCTTCGATTACTTACATTTAAATACTCAATATGAGGCCAGATGTTTGCTTATCATTTCCAACATAAAACAGAGATTTCAATATTAGTGAAATTTGAAGTACCCAAAGAAAATAATTTAATACAAAATTTCATGTGATTGTAACTGAAAATCTGGAAGAGCAACTGAAATTAAAACTGTAATTGACTCACTCATGTAATTACTCTAAGCCTTTCAACGTCCACAACTTGTTTCATTCGCAAAATAAGACACGAATGTTTAAAATTTAAAAAATATTATGATTATTATTATTATTTGAAAAAAAAAAAGCGCTAGCCCGCAGAGGTCGTACTCTGATACACTCTCTTCTATGATTATTAAATAATTAGAGGACAAGGGGGGGGGATTAGGATGTGGAAAATTCAATGACTATAAAAACACTTATTTTGCCAAATCTTTTCTAGCATGGGTTTGTAATAATAATAATAATAATAATATTATTATTATTATTATTATTATTATTATTATTATTATTATTATTATTATTATTATTATGAGGATCTGTTAGGTGGTGTATGAACCATAGAGTTTTGGCTTTCTGTGATGTGTGTTAATGTTTTGCAGGGTACTGTCTGGTGGAACGCCCCTGGGACTCCTCATCTCACGTCATTGAGGCAGGAAGCAGCATGCGGGTGAGAGAGAGAACATTCATAGTACACTACTGAAGTACCCGTGTTATAGAGTTCAACAAGAATAAATAACTTAAGTAGCTGGATAGTAGCACAGACACAGAGATGGATGTGTAGGCAAGACCCAAACATCCAAGACCTGTGCATCTAAATATTGCTTTATTATCTGCAGCTTAGAGTAAACTAGAGCCGTCGTGTTATCCATGTTTTGCATGCGTCAAGGATTTTTTTATATTCTTCAACTATATGTTACGTTGAAAATGTTAATAATGATGTTTTACCACTTTTAGCTGTACAAGGAAGGAGATGAGGACTGTTCTGAGCTGTGTTTCTGTGATCTTGAGGAGCAGACAAAGTGTATGGTGAGTACTGTTGAGACACTCACTCAATTATTCGCTCACTAACTTACTCACTCTCACACAGCCAGGGCACAATGAAGCCTCGAAAATACTTATACTCCGCTAAACACTCATGCTAACACACACTTTTTCATACTCGCACACTCACTCTCACTTCTGCTTCTCTCTCACTCACATTGTCAACAGTCCAATACTTGTATAATACGCCAAGCCTTAGTCACGTGACCCCTGTTAGTATCACACACACATAGGGCAGTGTCTCAGAGGCCTCTCCCGCACTCTCGACCAGACCTAGGAGGCCTGGGTTTGCCACGAATATTAATACATCGCCTCCAATAACAGTTCAACAGTTGTATTCTTCATACTATTATTTCCTAAACACGAACCCTTGTAACACTAACACACACACTAATACAAGCACTAATACACGCGCACACACACACACACACACACACACAAGTGCAAAGGTTTGCAACAAGACTAGTCCCAGAACTATGGGGTGTCCTACGAGGAGAGATTAAAGGAAATCGACCTGACGACACTGGAGGACAGGAGAGATAGGAGGGACATGATAACGACATACAAAATACTGAGAGGAATTGACAAGTTGGACAAAGACAGGATGTTCCAGAGATTGGACACAGTAACAAGGGGACACAGTTGGAAGTTGAAGACAAAGATGAATCACAGGGATGTTAGGAAGTATTTATTCAGTCACAGAGTAGCCAGGAAGTGGAATAGTTTGGGAAGCGATGTAAAGGAGGCAGGATCCATACATAGATTTAAGCAGAGGTATGATAAAGCTCATGGTTCAGGGAGAGTGACCCAGTAGCGACCAGTGAAGAGGCGGGGCCAGGAGCTATGAATCGACCTCTGCAACCACAACTAGGTGAGTACACACACACATGCACACACACACACACACACACACACACACACACACACACACACACACACACACACACACACACACACACACACACACACACAATCAATCATTCAAGACACTGTACACCGTGTATGTCAGGCCCATACTGGAGTATGCAGCACCTGTTTGGAACCCGCACTTGATAAAGCACGTCAAGAAACTAGAGAAAGTACAAAGGTTTGCGACAAGGTTAGTTCCAGAGCTAAGGGGAATGTCCTATGAGGAAAGATTAAGGGAAATCGGCCTGACCACACTGGAGGACAGGAGGGTCAGGGGAGACATGATAACGACATATAAAATACTGCGTGTAATAGACAAGGTGGACAAAGACAGGATGTTCCAGGGAGGGGACACAGAAACAAGAGGCCACAATTGGAAGTTGAAGACACAAATGAGTCAGAGAGATAGTAGGAAGTATTTCTTCAGTCATAGAGTTGTAAGGCAGTGGAATAGCCTAGAAAATGACGTAGTGGAGGCAGGAACCATACACAGTTTTAAGACGAGGTTTGATAAAGCTCATGGAGCGGGGAGAGAGAGGGCCTAGTAGCAACCGGTGAAGAGCCGGGGCCAGGAGCTAGGACTCGACCCCTGCAACCACAAATAGGTGAGTACAAATAGGTGAGTACACACACACACACACACACACTCGTGGAGGAGTCACGCGGTTTGAGCTCGTGTTTTGGTGGTAATTTCTGACTGTACCATAAAGAATAAAGTGTGGGATATAGGCGTGTGCACGCATAAGAGTGAATATAATCACTTAAGCCCCGAAAAAAGGAAACATAAGTGATCACAGAAAAGCAATTTTTTAAATTTGTGCAGTTACTATGTGGGGGCCTTTTGGGAAAGGGAAGGGGGAACGGTTGTGTAGCCCTAAAAGTGTTGCATAATAACGCAGGGGGTATTTGAAGAATAAGGCGACTAGTAGGGAGATAAGAGATTGTAAGTGTGTCAGTAAAAAAAGTGAGTGAGTGAAAAAAAAAATAGATGAGCTAGAGATACAGTGCCTACAGGAAGTTGTGGAAAAATACGGAGAAGCACAAGCATTTTCATACGGGCCCCAGGACAGACGACAACATTACCCACTGCCACCCGCAGTAATTTTCCCCTATTTGAGTTGCTGGGCAGCACCAGTCTCTAGTGGAATTTGGGGGTCCTCTCCCCGAGCTTCAGAATTAAAATAAGCAGCATTTACTGGTTTTTAAATAGAATTTATTGAGGTTGGGGAGATTTAAAGCGTTAAGATAGAAACCCGATGAGGGAGCCTAGATACGAATTGAAAGTAATTTTAGGCACAAGACAGTACATGGGAACCAAGAGATTGGGGGTCATATGCAAAAATATGTAGTACATAGAGGGAAATAAGGGCTGCTTACAAAATACATGCAAACACACACACACCACACATACAACACTACCCACATACACCACACAACACACACACAACCACAACAACACACACACACACAACCAAAAACACACACACCACACACCACCCCACACACACACACACACACACAATACCACACACACACACACGCGCCACTCGTGGAGGAGTCACGCGGTTTGAGCTCGTGTTTTGGTGGTAATTTTGACTGTGCCATAAAGGGAAAAGAGTGTGGGATATGGGGTGTGCACGCATAAGAGTGCATATAATCACTTAAGCCCCGAAAAAAGGAAATATAAGTGATCACAGAAAAGAAAACAAAGGAAATATTGGCTGTTGGAAGGGTGAACGGTTGTGTCAGGCCTAAATAGTGTTGCCATTATAACGCAGTGGGGTATTTTGAAGAATAAGTGCGACTCAAGACCAGGGAGATAAGAGATATGTATAGATGTGTCAGTAAATACAGTGAGTGAGTGAGTGAAAAAATTAGAAGAGCTAGAGACTATAGTGCATACAGGAAGTTAGTGGAAAAATTACCGAGAAGCATCAAACTTCTTCAACTTCTGGGACAGGACAGACCCGCTACGTTACTCCACTGCCAGCCGCAAGTAATATTCACCTAGTTTGAGTTGCATGGGGTCAATAGTACCTGTCTCTAGCTGGAATTGGGGGTCACTCTCCTCGAGCTATCAGAATTAGAATAAGCAGCATTTACTGGCATTTAATAGAATTTAGAGGTAGCGGCATATAGGCGAAGCCTAGTGTATTTATTTTTTAACGTAATTTTAAACGCATAAGACAGTACAGTGGGAACCAAGAGATCGGGTACATATACAAGACATATGTAGTACATACGTGGGAAATAAGGACTGTTTACATAAACATATGCACACACACTAGGTGAGGACAGCTCTGCTGTTAGGCACTTGAATAGCTGTAGCACGCACACACACACACACACACACACACACACACACATATGCACACACACACACACACACACACACACACACACACACACACACACACACACACACACACACACACACAAGCGCACACACACACACACACACACATATACAGGATTTTACACCTTCCTGTGAAGTGACCCTATAACCCTTCCTTTCCCCCATCTCTCTCCCTCTCCTCTCTCTTCCTCTCTCTTCTCTCTCTCTCTCTCTCTCTCTCTCTCTCTCTCTCTCTCTCTCTCTCTCTCTCTCTCTCTCTCTCTCTCTCTCTCTTCTCTCTCTCTTTCTCCCCCTTTCTCTCATCCTCTCTCTCTTCCTCTATCTCTTCCTCTCTTCCTCTCACTCTTTCTCTCTTCCTCTCTCTCTCCCTCTCCCTCTCTCTCTTCCTCTCTTACTCTCTCTCTTCCTCTTCTTTTATCTCTCTCTCTTCCCTTGTCACTCCCCCCTCTCTCTTACCTTTTCCCTCTCTCTCACTTTCTCCCCCTTTTTCCCTTCTTTTCCCCTCCTTCTAGGCTCTCCTTCTCTCTCTCCCTATCTCTCACTCTCTCCCCCTTTTTCTTTTTCTCTTTCTCTCTCTCTTTCACTAAAAAAAAATGGTTGGGACTCGCAGGAATCAGGGATCAGATGACAATGGTACTGGTAGGGAGGAATGGATGGAGGAACAGTGGAAAAGGATAGAGCAAGAATGGGAGAGAAAATTAGGAGAGCTTTCTGAAAAAAATGGAGAAAGAGCTCTCTGCAAAATGGGAAAAGAGGTTGGAGAAGGAGACGAAGAAATGGGATGCACAAGTCGAAACTGCAGTAGACAGGGTAAAGGTCCTAGAGTTTGAGGTAAACAGGCTGAAGCAAGTCTCAGGGGCAGTGACCAGAGAAGACACAGCATATGAAGCTGAGAGGATGAACAGGAAGGAAGCAGATATGAATTATGCTAAGGTCATATCAGCCTGCAAAGAAGGGTCAGGGAGTAAAAGGAAAGAGCAGCTGGGTGCAGATAGAGAGGGAGATAAGTCGAATGCTGAGGCACAACCATGCTACCAAGAGCCACTGGAAAAATCAAGGGAGAAAATTACCATATACAGACAGGAACCAGAGTCACAGAGAGAGAGGCAATGGGAGGAGGAAAGGGCAAAATCAGTGTTTATCCATGGGCTTTGGGAGAGAGAGGAAAAGATACACACTGAAAGATGGCAGGAAGAAAGAAAGGAGATTGGGAAAATCATCACGGAAATAGGGGGAGAAGACATGGACGAGATTGTAAATTTTCAGAGAATAGGGGGGTACGTGAAGGGGAGAAACCGACTGATCAAGCTGATTCTCAGGACAGAAACAGTGAGGAACAGGATCCTCCAAGAGAAACCAAGGTTGAAAAACTCGGAAGAGTACAAGAAGGTGTTCCTAGACAGAGACAGAACACAAACAGAGAGACAGCAGCTGAGGGAGAGGACAAAAAAGCGAAAGAAGATAGGAAAGGAAACAAGGATGGAACCAGCAGAGGTCAGTCAGAGCAGAACAGAGAAGCAAGGGTAAGCACACACACAACTATCCTCAGAACCCCACAACCTATCACACCATCCCAACACAAACTACAATCCATACCCACAGCTTCCACCCAACCCCCAATCATAGACTCCCACATTATGCTACCAGGTCTCCCACCCCCACAGGCCCCCCAAACCACAGTGTTGGAAAGGAAACTGAAGGTATGGTACACAAACGCTGA